CATACACACCACCGTCTGCAGCCTCGCGTTTCGCGCGTTTCTCCTCGCGGCTCTTCTTCGACTTCTTCACCTCCACGGGGGCCGGATATCGAGAGTTCTCTAGGTCTAGAGCCTCGTAGGGCGGCTGGTGGAGGGAGTAGACGGCGCGCCGCGGAAGGCAGAGAGCGATTCCGAGGAGCTGAGGCGCAAGATGATGGAAGGGCTGAAGCAAAATTCGGAACGAGACCGGCGGCTATCAGACAGCGGTGAAACGCCCAATGGGTACGACTAGATTACCTACCTACTCAAGAGAGCTCGAAGCCATAATTGTGATGTCTGTCTACTTGGGATCATATGTATGCGTTACGATTTTCACCCTGATTCTGGTGCGAGAGGGAGACACTGAGGCGCCTCAGGCCTCAAACCTCAGACAACTTGACGACTTTGAAGCAAAGATCGAGCCCGGGCACGTGGCCCTGGGAATCCTTGAGGGAGTGCGCCTTCGTCGCCTCGCCAAACCAAACGAGAACAGTCACGACGGGCAACGGCCCAGCTTCGGAGCCCGAAAACGCGTAGAAAAAGCCTGTCAAAGGTGTCTTTTCTGCCGCCTTTTGTGCGCGTGTGAAAAAGGCACTAAAATGGGCAATTTTTCTGGGTGCTTTACGGGGTGCCGAAAAGGATCGATAAAGAGACCTTTGGTGCCCATTTCAATAACACGCGTTACTTATCACTCGTACTAACTTGTTTGTTACTCGCATACTATACACGGTCTATTGCCCTTTAATGTGAATTGTATTGTCTTTGTTCTGAGCACAGTATTCTGTCGGGCCGAAGAATTCACCCAAAACGTCACCTTTCAGGATATTCTACGACACACACAAACTTGACATAAAAGTTCGCCTTTCCCACCCTTTTTCTCCCCTGGAAAAATGCCTGCCGAAAATGACACCTTTGACAGGCTTTTTCTACGCGTTTTCGGGCTCCGAAGCTGGGCCGTTGCCCGTCGTGAGTGACATGTGTCTACCGCAGCACCCAGTCTGAGCGCTTCTCTGGAGTCGCGTATCCACCATCACCACGATGCTCGGTCGAGTCCCTGGAATAGCGGTTAGGAATGTTTCCCCTTTGCTGCGCTAACCCGACCCACAAAATTTGGTTTGTCACAGGGAAGGCACCCACTTCTCGACCGTCAGGTCAAGATTCAATATGTAGGCCTTGTGTTCACGAGTACGCTTTATGGTGGGCCCGGAGATTAGAATGTGGAAGATTCCATGGGTATCCGACGCCGTTACGTTATGCAGAGAAGGCCCCTACCGCAGCTACAGATTCGCGCCCTCACCTCTTCATGGATGATTCGCGGGCTTCGACTGCTCGCCCTCTTCCGTCCCATTCTATCACTCCTATATGGCACAATCTTCGGGGGCCGTCATTACCGACCCTACGGTCAGACACGCTGTAGAGCGACTGCTCGCAGACCAAACCCCATACGCGCTCGAGGTTTCCTTGTCGAGTGAGTCTCAACTGATCTGTTGACTCGAAGCGTACTTATGCTCTACAAGAAACACCAATTCCGAACTTCAAAGCCATCCACGAGGAATTTCGGTCGTGCTTCCTGTCATCCTCCCATTTCCTCGATAGCCCAGGTCATCTTGTTCTCAATTCGTTATGCCGTTCGCTCCCGGTCGCCTGTCCGACTCACTTCCGCAACTCGGAAATCTCGGAGCAAGATCTTCAAAAAGCTGTCTTGTCTTCCCCGGCGGTGCTCATGGAGGTTGTGAGGGTCTCTGGACTTGAAGTACGTCGCTCGCATTTATGGTGACACTACCATATGTCGGCTTACATTCTAGCGTGGTAGACTGGCCACGGCCGATTTGGTAGGAGTATCCGCGCGCGACCATTTTTGGATTGGAATCTCAAAGTCCCTGTGGATGATGAGGCTCTACGCGGTGCTGAACGTTTGGTACTGGACGAACAGTGGCGAGTTCTACAGGTAAGCCCGGTACCGGGGATCAAAAGGTGATATGAACTCAGCCGCCAATAGGGACTACTATGGATCTTACGCCAGCCGGACTCCTCTGCTCAGCTTGTAAAGCTCAACTCCGAGGCGCAGAAACTACGGGAAAAAGGCGACTTGACATCCCACCCTGGGTTTACGACCGTTGAAGGCGAAGCCATCTCGTCCGGTTCCAGCTCGCAGTCGAACGATCAAGATCAATGGCCCCGCAACGACGCCACGCTCCTATCCGCTTTCAGCGCACCCATTTCAGCTCTACCCTTCGGTGCCCCTGGGGAGTTTGGAAACTGGGTCGTCAAACTCACTGCTAACGCCGTCAGTGATCTTCGTCGACTGAGACAGCGGGAGAAAACCTTGTTTGAAGGGGTCATCGAAAAACTTCGGTACGTTGCTGTCATTAGCTGTCGTATTCTTCATTAATCTCCGCTTCATAGCGACCTTTCACACGGCAACTTCTCTTCGAAAAATCACGCACAAGTTTCGGATGTCGACAGCGGGGTGCCTATCTACAAAGCCCGGGTCGACGGGAGCCACAGGCTCGTGGTATGTGATATACCTGCCATGTAAAAGACCAGCAGCTGACGGATTTTAGTACCACATCGATTGCCCGGGGAGTCGTGAGGAGACTGTGAGCAGTGTTCAGTTTCATACTATCGTTCGAAATGTCCGCTGACGGATCTCACCCGTCCAGATTTCAACCCAAAGTCTGTTCTCTGTGCGATTGGGGAACGTTCGACTCACATCTCACACCAGATATCCGTATATTCGGCGTATACAACGTACAGAAGCTGGAGAGCCTTGGAGAAGGACACTGGAACTCCTGGAGTCGGCACCTCGGACTAGGCGGCGACACGTACCGCGCTCGGTATGGTGCAGCCTTTCCTGCTTAAATACACGATTGAAGTCAGTATGCATCTGTCAGATGTCGGCAACGAAGCAAACCCAAGGGAGCACCTGGCGAGTACGTCCTCCAGCCATTGTCATTCTCAGCGCAAAAAGAGAACGAGGGACCTTCCCAACGTCACCTAATTCCCGATCATGGAATGGATGTGCGTTGTCTTCCTCCTACCAACGTTTCAATCCAGCGACGCTGATCATGCGATAGGCGAAGGATATGGCGGCCATGGAGAGGCTGACTGCGTTCTCGGAGGCGAGCTTTTATCCATATCGGTTATTATAGGTCGCTAATTTTTACTCTCTGGGTAGACGGTCTTTCACAGTGCGTTCCTCGCTTACATCCTCTCCGGCTGATATTGACTTGACCATTCAAAAGCGCTCCTAGCGGACTACGATCTGCCGTTCATAGCAGAACCATCGTAAGGATACTCACTTCGGCTCTCCAAGAGGCATCTAGCTCATATGTTCCAGTCCTCCAGAACAAGCTGTGATTGAGCATTCGGGCTCCTGTTATGTGATTGGACGATCAGGCACTGGGTAAGCGCCGTCATCCGTCTGGTGCCATTAGAATGATATTAATACGAAGTATGTGACGTTCAGGAAAACCTTGTGCATCATGTACAAGATCATCTCGATCGACAGATCCTGGGAGTCCTTGCACGGATTCATGCCGCGTCCTAGACAACTATTTGTGACTCGGTCCAGGAGTCTTGCCGAGCATGTTTGGTCGACGGTGGACAAGCTTGCCAATGCCTTCCGCCTCGGCGATCTTTCTCGGCACCAGGCGGTGGCCTTGGCGCGAGAACGCCCTGCCATTGAGGAGGAGGAGGACACCGAGAACACAACCTCCACTCGACCCACTCCTCCGCGGCGCTGGAGCCAGTTAACGAATGATGCGCACTTCCCGTTGATCATTACCCTCGACGAATGCTGGTCGATGTTGGAGAGGGACGTTTCAATCAGTGACGGCACTGGTGCGGCAAATGTGGCCTCTGGAGACGAAGACGAAGATGAGGGGTACGTTGTGCTTTCGTCGTCGCGAGAGACGTAGGTTAATAATACACGCACAGCACATGCACAGACGCCACCGCTCTCGTCTCCGGGAAGAGATTCGCCGAAGCATACTGGAAAAGGTTACCTCCAACCCTCACGAAAGGCTTTGATCCGCTATCGGTGTTCAGTGAGATCGTCGGTGAGTTTGTAACTTCCCCTGATCGCTAACATCAGGAAAAACCCGGATCCCTAAGGCGGGATATATTAGAGGTGGGCGCTTCTAAGAGTAGCTCATGACTGCTTCCTCCCGATATTTGCTACTTATGGACGCTACGCCCGCTTTTTTTTCACTCAGCCGTCTAATGAGTAAGTATTAAGTCACTAAACCAGCAAACACAATCAGGTGGTAGGTACGTAGTGGAGGCGACGTGGTCATGGGTGCGTGAGGTACGTGGGACAGTGTACGGTCGGTACGCGTTGTGCGGGCGACGCGTCCGACTCAGATGCGCCATGCAAGCGTCGCGTGTACACAAGCCTCGGCGTCCGTCGTACGTCCAGCTTCGTGCGGGCGACTGGCCGTCGCCGTTGTGTATCGGGCGTTGTGCAGGCGACTGGCCGTCGCCGTTGCGTATCAGGCGTTGTGCGCTGCCTTTCGTCGGCACGTCGTGAACCGGTGTGCGCGATGCGTCCGGAGATCCCTGCTGTTCGTGCGACCCACGGTGTGCGTGGCGTGTGTCGAGTGTGGCCCTGTGTCAGGGGGTCCGACGAATGGCGTTTCGTCGAACATTTTCACAGCTTTGCGGCGTGCTTCGGGGTTGTGCGAAGTTGTGCGTCCGGCGTCTTGCGGGAGGATGGGGGAGTCGGGCCACTGGGGCGGAGGAAGCGTGCTTTGGGGGACGTGGGGCTGATGGAGTTGGGCGAAGTGAGGCCAGGCGACGGGAGTCAGGAGACTCGAGGCCGGCGGCGGGCGGGGATCGGGGAGCGAGCGAGTTGGGTACGTGAGGCTGGTGGGCGGCCTCCGTCGGAGTGCTGAGGCCAGGTGAGTGGGTGACGACGGCCTGTCTGTTCAAATCCGTGCCCGAGCCCTAGCAACTCGGCTGAGTCGCTCTCGGAGCCTGGACAACACGGACTTCCTGTCGTCCTCTAGGCTCTCGGTCGTGGAGTATCGACCCAGCAGCTCAGTGAAGTTCTGCCCTGGCGGATCGACGTCGTCCCTCAAGTCCCTCAAGTCGTTCACCTTCCGATAACCGAGAGCACAGTATCGCATGAGACCCCCTGCCACGTACTGTGTGACTGAGGCCCTCTCATTGAGACCGGGGGTGTATCTGCCTGGAAGTAGTGTGTTCCCGTGATCAACGCCGGCAGAGGGCATGTAGATAGACGAGTAGGAGGGGAAGTCGACGACCATCTTGAGTCGGGGGTAGTTCATCTGCGCCCCCACTTGATGGTTGAATCGGCCAAGAGACGTGACGACGCAAGGGATGCCGGGGTAGTTCATGGAGTCAAGGTGTGTGGAGCAGCAGGTCAAAGGGCCCAAGTTAACCGTCATACCGGAGTAGATGGAGGCCCCCGGAAAGTTCATGCACGCGTCCGGGTGCTGCAGGATGTAGTCGTCAAGGGTCTCATACAGGTGGCCGTAGGCTTTAGGGAAGGCGTACGCCATAGTATCTTCAAATGCTGTCAGCCCTGGTTGGGTTTAAATCTGCTATAGTTCGACTTACAGGATTGGTAACCTGCTAGCCTTCTCAGGCCCGGGCTTGCACGAAGACGTTCATCGGCCAACTTCTCCCAAGGCTTTAGCAGGAGTCGACCGGGACGCTGCAAGTTCGACGTCAATCAAGGCAAAGTCAAAGGAGGAACAAGGAACCAACGTACCAGGCTCCCTTGCCCCATAGATATCCCCGTGGTGATGGACGAGAAGTCGCCCCGACGTCCGGAGGAAATTTGAAAGGTGCTGTCCTCCCGTACCTCCCTGATAAGGCCGACAAGGTCGTCCATCGACTGATTCCACCCCGTGTTGTCCGCATTTGCTGGACTCGGCACCATCTGCATCATGATCCGGCCCTCAGCGTCGACAACACGGTGACTAGTACTGCAGCAGCGTTTGGGTCAGCCTGCTAAACGTGAGGCCGTGGACAGTAACTTACCGACCGTCCCAGGATATGTGGTTGGAGCCGTCGTTGAGCACAGACTGAAGCCAGGGAGGGGGAGGGAGGTTGCCGGTGACAGGGTCGGCCTTCGGCCACTCGGTGGCAGTGCTGTAGCCCGTCGGTAACGCCCATACGAGGTGCCCGCGTTGCCGTCGGTAACGGCCATACGAGCTCGTACGAGCTCCGGTAATGTAGCCGTCAGTAACGGTCGTACGAGATGTGGGGGGCAGGTAGTTCCCCTTGATAGCTTAGTGCTTTTCCAACTCTCCTACATACCCTAGTACATTGTAATTGGTACAACAACAATGAAAACGATATTCTACAGCCCCTGGGAAGCCAATACCGGGCTGATACAGCAGGGGACGCCGGCTCCGGTAGTGGCACGTCCCACTGCCTACATTGCGCCCTACTGCACCGTACGTTTCGGTAATGCGTTCGCTACGTTCCCCTGGGTCATACGAGCTCGGAACAGTCGTTTTTATCACCGTGCGTGCTGTGGTTGGCCCGGAGCAATGAAAACACTGCCCAGACTCGTACGAGCCTGTAGCCGTCTGTCACGGTCGTACGAGGCACTTCCGGTGTGCACCCGGAATATTGCGGTAATGGATTCGGCAGATGCGCGTTACTGTACCGAACGCAGCGCACTCAAATTCGTTGCGATGCGTGCCATGGTTGGCCTGGGGTAACAAAAACGCTGCCCAGGCTCGTACGAGCCTGTAGCCGTCTGTCACGGTCGTACGAGGCACCTCCGGTGTGCACCCGGAATATTGCGGTAATGGATTCGGCAGATGCGCGTGGTCGTACCGAACGTGGCGCATCCGATTACATTACCTTGCATGCTGTGGTTCACCCAGGGTAACAAAAACACTGCCCAGGCTCGTACGAGCCTGTAGCCGTCTGTCACGGTCGTACGAGGCACCTCCGGTGGGCACCCGGAATATTGCGATAATGGATTCTACAGGTGCGCAAAACCGTACTGAACGCAGCGCACACAATTCCATTGCCGTGTGTGTTGTGGTTACAGAGGGAGAGTCAGAACAGTGCTCAGGCTCGTACGAGCCCGTACCCTGTCTCAGACAGTCGTACGAGTACCTCCGAGAGAGCGGACACCCGAAAATCTCGGCAATGCACTGGCTGCATTGCCGAGATTTTCGGGTGTCCGCTCTCTCGGAGGTACTCGTACGACTGTCTGAGACAGGGTACGGGCTCGTACGAGCCTGAGCACTGTTCTGACTCTCCCTCTGTAACCACAACACACACGGCAATGGAATTGTGTGCGCTGCGTTCAGTACGGTTTTGCGCACCTGTAGAATCCATTATCGCAATATTCCGGGTGCCCACCGGAGGTGCCTCGTACGACCGTGACAGACGGCTACAGGCTCGTACGAGCCTGGGCAGTGTTTTTGTTACCCTGGGTGAACCACAGCATGCAAGGTAATGTAATCGGATGCGCCACGTTCGGTACGACCACGCGCATCTGCCGAATCCATTACCGCAATATTCCGGGTGCACACCGGAGGTGCCTCGTACGACCGTGACAGACGGCTACAGGCTCGTACGAGCCTGGGCAGCGTTTTTGTTACCCCAGGCCAACCATGGCACGCATCGCAACGAATTTGAGTGCGCTGCGTTCGGTACAGTAACGCGCATCTGCCGAATCCATTACCGCAATATTCCGGGTGCACACCGGAAGTGCCTCGTACGACCGTGACAGACGGCTACAGGCTCGTACGAGTCTGGGCAGTGTTTTCATTGCTCCGGGCCAACCACAGCACGCACGGTGATAAAAACGACTGTTCCGAGCTCGTATGACCCAGGGGAACGTAGCGAACGCATTACCGAAACGTACGGTGCAGTAGGGCGCAATGTAGGCAGTGGGACGTGCCACTACCGGAGCCGGCGTCCCCTGCTGTATCAGCCCGGTATTGGCTTCCCTGGGGCTGCGGGATGTTCTTGCGCGTATGTAGCACACTAGAGGACCTCAAAGCACGCAAACGACAGCCAGAATGATACATTTGGCATTGTATATTACTTCTCCACCACCGCTCGTACGACCGTTACCGACAGCTACACTACCGGAGCTCGTACGACCGTTACCGACGGGCTACACGACCGGAGCTCGTACGAGCTCGTATGGCCGTTACCGACGGCAACATGACGGGGTCGTACCGCCGTTACCGACGGCTACAGAGGGGGAAGGGGGTCCTTCGGCGCCATGGACGTCAAAGTTTGGTAGCCGTATTGATCCACAGGGAGGTGCTTCCGAAGGTCGAAGGTCTTGAGCTTGATCTCCGGAACTTGGAGGTGAGTAGAGGTGAAATGGGACTCAGAAGGGATCGGTGGGAGCTGGGCCTGCCGACGTCTGGGTAGCTCCTGCTGCTTCCCTGGGGCCCGCTCTCAGTTCATGAAGGTTGAAGCTTGTGCAGCGAGCGTACCTTTTCTAGTAGTCGGGGATTCACTCCTGTCGAGTTTCCTCTTGGTCAAGCCCCTTCAGTGAGGACGCGACCGCCTTGGAGAGCCCTTCGCGGCATTTTCGAGCAGGTTGCAGGCACTCTCCGCCCCTAATCGACATGTTAGCCAAGCAAAGAAGAGGTCAGTGCAGTGGGAACTCGCCAAAAGGATCAACGGCCGTCATCGGGCTACCACTGGGCGACGGCGATGCTGCCAAGGCCTGTCAGCTATAAAGACAGCCACAGACAGGCAAGCGCACTTACGCCGACGACGCTCCTCCTCATCCCTTTCCACAGCACCCTCCTCATCGTCCACGTCGTCCCTGTCTCCGCCACGGTTCGCATTCGCGTGGTCCATGGCGTCCTCAAGGTGATAGTTTGCAAGTCGAACGTCTTGCCCGTCAAGAAGGTCAATCGTCCCAGAGTACATCAGGAAAACCCCAAAATGCTAATTAGGACTAATCGCACTAATTTAGTTGATTAGCAGCCATTAGCCCTGATTATCTGTTAGCAGCTAATTAGATCGGTCCCCTGCTAATTACGACCATTAGAGAGATTAGTTCAACAATTAGCCATGCATTACTCCGGGTATTTGGGCATAGGGTGGGGGATTAGACACACAGATAGGTGGGCTTTAGTGAAGATTATCACAATTAGACACAGTTAGGCAGACATTAGATATCATAATCGCGCAACTAGTCAGACAATTAGAGAGTTCAGACCAAATATATTGAAGCGTAGTAGTACAAATGCTATACTAGGTTCACGCGGACGAGACGTGGACATACGCGGGGGATGCACGGGTAAACGAAGGAAACACGGCGATGTGGGGGCGAGATGCTGCTGACGCGGGAGACAAGGGAGGGGTGGATGATGGGGCGGCGAGATATTACGAACGCGGGCGACGCGGGCGCAGGGTGGGCGACGCGGGTGAGGTAGGCGAGGGCGAGACGAGCGACGCGGACGTTGGGGCGTGGGTGATGTGGGCGATGCGCAGCGAGGCGTGGGCGAATGCAGGCGATGGGGGGTAAACGCGGGCGACGCGGACGTTGACGTGCAGGCGACACGGATATGATGCGGGGGGACGACAGGCGACGTGGCGATGAACGCAGGCGACGTGGACATGGGTGACTTGAGGGCGATGCGGGGTAGACGAGTGAGGTGGGGAAGGCCGAGACAGGCGGGGCAAGGCGCGCTGGCGCGCGAGATGTGGACGACGTGAGGTGAAATGTGGGCGAACGCGGGAGACGCGGGCGACAGGAGTGAGGCGCGCGAAAGCGACACGGGCAACGTGGGGCGATATGGGCGATGCGGGCGAGGTGAGCGATGTGGGTGACGTGGACGGGCGGGCAACGTGGGCGAGAATGAGCGTGAGCGAGCCAGCGCAGGGTAGGCGAGACGGGGAATGCTTACCTCTGAGTGCTGAGCAAAGGGTGGTGCCATCCTCCATACCACATCGTCGTCCGGGTCGTGTGGAGGGCGCGAGGGAGAGCAAGCCGCGGCCGCTGTGGATGTGGAGGATGCCCTGGCGGGGGAGGTTGGCCCAGTTGCAGAGGGAGCGTTGGAAGATTGAGCCCGGGGTGTAGAAGAGCGTGAGGGAAGATTTGAGGTTACTTGATGACCTTGCCGGTGTCCGGGGGAGGGAAACGCGGGCTAGGGGAAGACGAGTAAGAGCGGGCCGGTGGGTGACGCGGGGGGTGACATAGCGGCAAGGAAGGGGCGAGGTGGTAGACCCCGGCACAAGGTGGAAGACGTGGGCGAGGTCGGCGACGCGGGCGCGAGGCGGATGAGGGAGAGGTGGGCAGGATAACGTGGGGGCGACGCGGGGCAGGTGGCGACACAGGCGACATGGGATATGTGGCAAATGCGGGAACGACCCGGGCGGTGTGGGTGGTGCCGGTGAGGTTAGTGATGTGGATGACGTTGACGAGGCGGGCAAGAGAGGCGAGAACAAGTGAGCCAGCGAGCGCAGGGCTGACGAAACGGAGAAGGCTTACCTCTGAGCGTTGAGGTCGTGCCCTCCTCCATACCCTGTCGTCTGAAGACGCGAAGCCTTCACACGCGTGACCGCCGCGGCGCCACTCGAGACGAGGAGACCGCGCATGAAGGCTGCTCACGGGGAAAGCGCCGGTGAACGGTGTCGCGGCGGGTGGCAACGACCGCGTACCACGGTCACGTCGGTGGAACGAGCGCCCCAAGCACGTCTGTTAGGACGTGCTCGTTGTGGGGATGTGGTCGATGATGCAGGTGGGGCCTGGGGAGGCAGTGGGCGAGGCAGGAAGCGCAGGAGGGTGGAGCGGGGGACTCACCGAGACAGGGTGTGGCCGCAGATGTCCTCGCACATTGTGGGGTTGAGAGGTTGAGGCGGGGGGCGCAGAGTACGGCCTGGGGGGGACAAAGGGGGCCGGGACAGGGAGGACGGGGAGGACGAGGAGAGAACGAAGCGTGCTCAGGCAGGTGCTGGCAGCTCCGGACGCGTGGGAATCAACGCGCG